GCTTTTGAGCCATGGACTTGGGTTGTAAATTAATTCGCGGGGAGTGGGCTCCAGGAAGAGCCAGCATCCCTGCCCCCGTTTTCCCACCGGGGAGTCTGTACAGAGATTTTTTCTACATTTTTATTTTTTGCCTCAGAGAAATGGGATTGGGGGAGTTGGGTGGGACGGCAGAGGGTTGGGGGCATGGTCTGTAGGCTGCTCTGTGTCCACCTGGCACCTCCACTAATGCTGTCTCAGTGTTTTTTCTCTCTCTCTCTCGAGCTTGTACTCCGGTACGACCTGGCATCCTGGCCCATCCCATGCCGGGGGGCCAGGGGAAGAAGACAGGCCGCTCCGCCCGCGCCCGCCACGGCAGGGGCACCAGCACACCTGCCCGCCGCCGTCCGCCTCACCACAGACTCTTGTTCAGCCCTTCGGGGCCTCAGTGTTTGGGGCAAGGGGAGCCGCGTAGACTGTGCCCTGCCCTTGGCCCCCGCCCCCGAAATGCCGACGCCACGCCTCGACCAGATCCGCCGCCACTCCCACTGAGGACTCCGGAGGCCATCGCGGGACCTGCCGGCCGGGCCGCCTCGTCTGCAGTTGTATTAAGTTGTCTCCGTGTCCCCTCCTTCCTCCACCCCAGTGTTTCTTCTAGTTTTTTTTTCCCTTTCCTCCCTTCTGCTCCCACCCGTCCCTTGGTTCAGCACAGGTAAACCAGTTACCCCTCCCGCCTTCATGGATCACCAGCTCACGTCATGTTTCCTTCTCTTTTCTTTTTGTGTGTGTTTATTTAAGTTACTTTTTCTTCTTCCTCCCCTTTTCTTTTCGGTCCTCCCTCCCTCTTCTGCCATGTAACTGGAGGATGTGCAATGAGTTTGCAAACAGCTGGACTGTCAGGCTGCTTTCTTCCAGATGTGCCTCCTCTGCCTCCCCTCCCCTTCCTCTCCCCCCCCCCTTTCCTTCCTTCGTTCTTTCCTTGGAGCACTGAGCACCACTTGGAAGCTTGAGAAACCAAAATTAAAGAGAGAGAGAGAGAAGGCGCGTCATCCCTCCTGCTTGGACTGGATCTTCTCCTCTGGTTGTTCGGGTTCTGGCCCTGATTTCTTTTGGGGTTGAGATCCAATTTGCCTGTCCCAGAGGTCAAGGACTGTCACCCCAGGGGGATCTCAGCCAGGGGCTGGTAGGTGCCCCCTGCCCTCCCCATGCGGCACAGCCAGACTTTCCCCAGGGGCTGGCTCCCCAGCTCCTGCCCGGGGCTGAACCCAGGCCCAGGAAGGCAGACGTGGGAACCCTGGGGCACCTTGGCCAGAGTGAGGTGGGGGTGCAGCCCTCCAGGGGGCTGTAGCACTCTGAGCCCTTCTGCCTCCAGCCTCTGGCCCAGCCCTTGGGCCATACTTTCTAGGGAAGGGGAGGGTGGGGCACAGAGCACATGGTGGCCCAGGAGCACCAGGCGTGTAAAGCTTATCCGAGGGGGTGCCTGAAGCCCTGGGGCCGAGAGCACGCGTCTTAGAGCACAGACCACGGCCTCTGCCTCCCCGGGGCCCGCCAGCCGCAGCAGGGCCAGTGTCAGATGTAGGGCCTGTACCGGCACCATGAAAGCAGCACATGATGGCGCGGCTCGGACCAGCTCTTCCTGCGCCTTGGCCACTCCTGCCTGCAGCCCAGGCTCCGTCACCATCAGGGCCACAAAATGCGTGGGCCGGGGCTGGCGAGGGGTCTCAGGTCTGGTCACGGTGTCGTCTCCACTGTGTAGGGGCCAGGCCCCGATACCCCACTGTGCTGCCTTCTCAGGGAAGTCGTCTGGGGTCCGCCCTGGGGCTGCCATGGCCTGAGGCTCCGAGGTCCTGGGGACGGCAGTGGCTGGTTTCAGACGCCTTTCTTGCCTTGTCCACGGGGAAGCCTGGCCTCCAGCCCCGCCCAGCTCCCGCTCCCGGGCCTTCCTAGATGGCCAGGCAACCGCCAGGCACTGGGCCTCTGAGCCGCCACTATCCCGAGTAAAGGTGGCCTCGAGTCCCATCCAGTCCCGCTCTCTCTGCTCTCCCCCTGGGGCGCCAACGGGGCCCGCAGTTAGGCCGTCCTGCGTGTCCCCAGTCCAGTGTGCGTCCTCGGCCTTGTCCTCACCGGTGTGCGCTTCTCCAGTCCCCTGCACGTCCCCGGTCTCCCGCGCGTCCCCGCCGCCTGGCGCATCCCCGGTCTCCCGCGCGTCCCGGCCGTCGGGTGCGTGCCCGCCGTCTGGCGCGTCCCCGCTGTCGAGCACATCCAGGATGGTGGGCCCACGGCCCGCCGCCGAGCCCGAGCCGAAGACGTGGTCGGTGCGCGAGGCGCGGTCCCACACGACGCGGCCGCGGAAGCGGAAGTAGCGCACCCGGTGCTGCGGCACGGCCAGCACGCCCGGCCCGAGCGCCGCCAGCGGCTCGTCCCAGCAGAAGGCGCTGAAGGGCTCCTCGCGCACGCCCAGAAAGCGGTCGACGTAGCCCACCGAGAAGTCGGCCGGGTCGAGGCGCGGGTCCCAGAGGATGCGCTGGATGACGGCCGCGGCCGTGCGCAGCGGCGGCTTCTTGGCGCCGGCCTCGGCCTCCGCCTGCCCGCTGGGCCGCGCCGGCGCCCCGGGGTGGGGCTGGCGGCAGCGGGCGCCAAAGCGGCAACGGCCCTCCAGGAAGAAGCGGCAGGCCGGCGGCGGCGCGGGCTCCGCGGCGGGGGCCTCCAGGGGCGACTCCGGCTCTCCGGCTGCCGCCATGGGAGCCGGGATGCGGCTGACGCGCCCCGGGACAGCTCTGCCGGGACGGGCGCGGGCCCCGCTATGACTTCACCGGCGGGCGCTGCGGCCACGCCCCGGCCCGGGACCGCGCCCGCGCTCGGGAGGACTCCGGTCCGGTCCCCAGTGGGACCGCCCTCCGCGGTGTCCTCGGAGAGTCTGACCCTGCCCCCTCTGCGGGCAAGCGATTTACATGCGTGGGCCCGCCCCCAGTCCAGGTGCTTTACCGGTGCGGCCCCGCCGTTCTGGCACCTTAGCGAGCAGGGCCCCGTCCCTGGCCAAGTGATTTACATGCGTGGCCCCGCCCCCAGACCAAGTGGTCTACCGGTGTGGCCCCGCCGGTCTGGCACATTAGCGAGCCGGGCCCCGCCCCCGGCCAAATGATTTACATGCGTGGCCCCGCCCCCGGCCAAGTCATCTACATGCGTGGCCCCGCCCCCAGTCCAAGTGCTCTACCGGTGCGGACCCGCAGCTCTGGCACGAGAGCCTGGCCCCTCCCCCAGTCCAAGGGCTTTACCGGTGTGGCCCCGCCACTCCCGCGCTTTAGAGAACCTGACCCCGCCCCACGACAACTGATTTACATGCTCGGCGACGCTCCCAGTGGGGCCCCACTCCGCCCTCGGAGAACGTGAACCCGCCCCCTCCGCGGCCAAGCGATTTACATTGTCGTCCCATCCCCAGTCCTAATGATTTGCACGTGCAGTCCCGCCTCCTCTGGGCCCATAGGGAGCCTGGCTCCACCCCCTGCTTAGTAGTTTCCATACGCAGTCCAGCTTCCGGGCCTTAGCGGGCCTGGCTCCGCCCCTTGCCCAATGATTTGCATGCGCCGCCACGCTCCTCTGGGCTCTAGTTCGGTCGCACCCTCCGCGGGCGCCCGGGACAACCGGACGCCTGCAGGCTCGGACTGAACTTCGTAGTTCAGACTTGGGACGCTGCTGCCGCGCTCACATCTTTGGGAGACAAGGGGCCCTCCTCCACGGAGACCACGCCTCTTCCCGGCCACTTGCCAGCGCGCCCGCTCCGCCGGAGCGGAGTCCACTGGACCCAGGAGCTCGGGTCAACATTGATGAATGAATGAGGCTGTGGGAGCGGCCACGTGGACACCCCGCCCCCGGGGAGGGCACCTCCTAGCCACACCCCCGCGCTCTCTTAAAGGGGCCGCATCCCTCCACTCCAGGCTCATTATCCGCCCTCCACCTGGCTAGTGCAGTTACCGCAGGGACCAGGAGTCCAGGTGACAGATCTGGCTCTTAAAGGCGCCAGGACCGCATCAGCCCCTCCCCATGCCCCCTTCCCATGTGCAAAGTGAACAGACAGAACTGGGGCACAGACCTTGGCCGTTTATGTATAAAGAAGTGGGGTGTCCGACCGTAAGGGCGCGGGGAACCAGGGTGCCTAAAGGCCGATGACGTCGTCCAGCTCGAGGTCCGCGCTGGGGCTGCAGCGGGCCCTGGGGTGCCGCACCCCAGAGCCGGGGTCTGCGTCGGGCTTGGCGGCCGCGGCCCCCGGGCGCTCCGCGTCCATGACGCCCAGCACCGCGTCCAGCATGGAGGGGCCCAAATCCAGGTGGAAGGACAGCAGCGGGTCGGCGGGCGCGGGCGCGCGCAGGGC